AGAGAGAGAGAGAGAGAGAGAGAGAGAGAGAGAGAGAGAGAGAGAGAGAGAGAGAGAGAGAGAGAGAGAGAGAGACCTCGTAAAGGTGGTCATGTTGTTGACACTTTTGCGGTCTCGTACGGGAAGGGAGCATGACCACCTTCACATCATTCATTCTTATTATCTCGGATACATGTACGTTCATACACACCTCATCATCAACTTCGATACGTGTTTGATTGTGGTCAACATACATGGAAACAAGACAACCCGACATCACCTCATGTGTGATTTCATACTGAAAGTCTCTCTCTCTCTCTCTCTCTCTCTCTCTCTCTCTCTCTCAAACATAGGTTGGCATAAAGACCGCCGCAGATTGCGTCTGCTGGTTGCATCGGGTGAGGCTGCTATCAGAGAGAGAACGACTGGAGCTGCCGGTGTGAATGTTTGTACATTGTATGAGAAGCCTGTCCTTTTGTTGGTTGCCCTCCGTGATACATTGCATACTGACGCTTCAGGGAGGATTCTGAGAGCAAGGAGGGTGTTGCCCGATGAATTCGACCTCGACTCTGTGAACAAGTACTACTACTACCCTCTCAGCGGTCAGCATAACGTGGCGGCGGCAAGAAGGTGTTTTGTTGAAAGCCTTGACATCGCACAAGAGCTTTGATTGGATCGCTGGACTGCGAGGCCTGTTTATTATCCGGATAAAAGCATGGACAATTACGGCACGCTGAGCAGTTTCCAGAACGCCAAGGACAAATGGAATACCCCACCGCACCAGATCGTGGTCATCCAAAACATACGGAAGTTGTGACACGAATCAAACTGTCCTGAAGCTAAAGGCGGCTCAGCGGCAGAAGTGAAAAATACAGATTATAGAAAGTTTGCAGGAGAGGCTCTTCGTTTGACCGGGATTCGTAATTTGGTTTTCATATCCCTTACTACTCAATGGAGCGGCCAGTGGTCTGACGCCCTCGGGCCCTACATAATGTTGGCTAGGGCGACAGATGACGTTTTCGAAAAGGTGAAACAAGTGTACGCCGCTTGGGAAGTTGGACAATTGTCGGGGAGAGATGTTGTGAAGCCTGCTACCAAACAAGGTGAATCAGGGAACGCACCGAGGGCTGGACTGAGATTTGAGTTGAAAAGTGGAGTTAGGTATCCGGTTCACAGGGTTCAGGGTACCGAAGGACCGGGTTACCTCGTGGCTGTGCACGATCCGGATATCAGAGCGTGGAAGTCTTTTTCAGCGTTTGGGAGGCGTGAGCGGCTTCAACTGTTGCGAGACATTCTCACAGACAATGTAATACTGACTCCTAAGCAAAGTGGAGCTGCTCAACGTGCCGGGAAACATTCAACGGAGACATAAGTGGAAATGGTGAAGATTGGAAAAACAATGTTGAGGATGTTTCACTACTTCGTCTTCATTTTCTACCCTCACAGGAAGTCGTCAGAGTAGACGAAACCAACAACCTTTCCGATTTGTTTGATAAGAACTGTGATGAAGGATTGACGTCCGAGAGGTGGATCGACCATCGTCGTCATTTTAAAGATATGAATTGGGTGCGAACGTTGCGGGCTACACTTGGAGGAGAGGAGGAAAAAGGAGAAGAGGGCTTCAAGAAAACAACATCACTTGCTGCGAAGTGCCCCGAAGAGTTCGTGCAGTTTATCAACAAGTTGCTGCGCAGATCAGAAACCAGGGGTTCGGAAAGCATAAGAATGTCGGGCACGGTGAAATATATACATTTCAAAAAACAGAACATGAACTCAGTTTTCGTCCCGTTCCAATGGGAACCAAGCGATATTTCATACGAGATGGATTCCAAGGAAATATATAGAGTCGTCAAACATCTGAGTTGCCACACGGCCGTGCTGGATTTGTGTCACCCAACCCAGATAGGGGTGTGGACTGAAGAAGTCTTTGATGGCCTCCGGAAGTTCATGAGAAAACTGGCTGGTCATTATTGGACATTATTGTGCTTTGTTCCGCGGTCTTGCGAGTATACATTTTTCAAGCGAGTTACAAGTTGGGAGATTGACATTCACTTGTCTATTCTAAAGTGGACTCGTCAACAACAAACGAAGGCGAGGCATTCATATAAGGTTGCGAACTTGCCTTTGGAGGACACATACAGAATGGTTGTCATCATGTACTCCAACGATGGGGATTATCACCGCAACACTATTCCCTTGCTTGAAGACATTCCAGCAAGCACTCCAGCTGCAGATCGATCATCTGGCGAGAAGGCGGGTGACTTATCAGCACTTGTGCGCAGAGAGAGAAGGCCAAAGATATTGGCTGATGTCGTAGAGAAGAACTTCACGCCCACGAAGTTGAAAATGGCAGGTATGAAGCCAAAAGAGAAATTTGTGTACGAAAGTATGGAAAGGGAGCCAAATGCGATGGTGGAGACATTGGAGCATTTTTGTCCTGCGGATGAGGCGGTTGTTTTCCTGGGAAAAGGTCTTGCGGCGTTGATTTGGGAGTTGTTAAAGAGTCACCGTCATTGCATTGTTCTGGAAGGGGAGGGCATGAAGTTCGAGTTTCTCGTTCAATTCGTCAACAGGATGGTCAAGAGGGGAGGTTACTTCGCCAAATTTGTTAAGCTGCCTCCTCGACATGATGAAAAGCGTCATGTCCACATTTGGGAGTTCATTTTCGAGACTAAGCCACAAAACCGAGGGGAACGTGCATATGTCGCCAGAAGGCGAAAAATTGAATCACTTTTGAGGGGG